GTAACAGATTTACCTCTTTGAGGAAATGAAAGGGCTCAGGGTTGAGTGCCACAGACAGAGTAAGGATGTGAAATATTGAGAAAGGTCTTGATTTCTCTTTCATGGTTTCACAGCAGCAGACTGATTTTACTGACATCAACTCTCTGGTAATGGGACAATAAAACAGCGACGACATAAGGTACAAGATATGGTCTTTTAATTGTTGATTATCTCTCAGTACAGAAATATTTTTTCTTCTTAACATTCTATCTGTAATTCAAGTTGGCAGCATCGTCTTGATGTTGAAGTGGTATTAAAGTAAATTTCCACAGAGTTTAGCAGTGAACCTGCTCATCACCTTCCCTCAGATAACATTAGTAAACAAACGTCCAACCTCTGTACAAGAACCTTTCACAACACAAATAAATAGCATTCATTTAAATGTGGCACGCTATCAAACATTCATACAGGGGAAGAACAAAAAATCTAAATTGGAAGAAAATGCTACAGATGATTTTTTTATATTAAAAAAAATGTGACTGCTCAACACAGAAATGGTCTGAAGTAGCAAAGACAAGTGCCCCAAGCTTGAATATCTTAGCAGACACAGCACAGAGCAGCAATACAGCTGCCTGGTTTCATTTGAAATGTTGTTACTGTGCACTTTAGTTACCATTTCAAACTCCTGATAAACTCAAGGGTCTTTTTTTACTTTCCTTGCCTGATTATCATTTAAGAAACAAGACTTCCACACATGTCACATTAAAATCTTCAAATTTGAACATTAATTATTTCTGTAAGTGACTGTTCTACAGTAAGGTATTAGTTTCTTCTAAGATGTGCCAATTTCTCTTTAGAAACGATGAAACAATATTTGCCCAAACTGCTTAATATCATTTGAGTAAAATGAACTTAATGTCATGTTTAAAAAAAGGTGATGAGGCCCATTCGTCCAACCGTTATCATTCCTTGAAATGGCACAGTGTTATGAAATCTGTCATCAGTGTACATGAGATATTTTGCCTGTCGTTAAAATATAAAAAGACAAGCTTGGATGTTTCTGTAAACCTGAACAAAGCCAAACACACTCAAAAACTGCAGTTACACATAATGGGGATCTACCAGCCTCTGAAACAAACACACGAGTAAGAATATGTGTTAAAATAAGTAAAACAAAAAAAAACAACTCAATAAAATAAATAGACAATCAAAAAGACAAACTCAATATTTGGCAGGTACGCACAACGTCAGTCTGTAAACAAAACATAATCGCACCAGGGACATTATGCCCCTAAAATCCTCCTCATCCTCAGAGCTCTCTGGTGTGCTGGAGGAGGCAGTGGCTCCATCACTACTCAGGAGGAGGTGGAATACTGTGTGTACTGAAAGTTTGTCCTCTGCCCTTCACACTCCTGATCCTCCAACCTCCCAGCAAAACAGTTTGGCTCAATAAACTAAGGGCAATCGAGGGGAGGTCCTCCGTAGACTACCGAGGTGAACACTCAAAGAAGGGCGCCAACTTAGAGCTTGACACATGCAACAAAGAATTCCCTTCCCGCCTTTATTCCCCTCGTAGTACAGGGGTGTGTTTACTACCGGATCCTTGTGAAGAGGTTCAGCACTGACACTGATTCCTGAAGGAGGGAGGGACACAAAAGAAAGTAAGAAAAATAACCAATGAAAAAATATCGTGGATAGATACTGAAACTGTACAATTTTTGAAATTGAATGGAGAGATTTACCAAATGGAGAAAAGCACAAAAAAATGTTAATATGAGTGACAACAAATACCTTAGTGGATCTCATCTTGCTGAAGACGTTCCAGAACCGAAGAGTTTCATCTCCAGCCCCCGTCACAATGGCCTCTCCGTCGGGTGACATAGCCTGCACACAACTCTTTATTATACACTGAATAGACTGTAGTTTTACATCATGTAATCTGTTTATTAGCCTTGTTTATCTTATCTCTGAGGATTTTTTTGTTTTGAAGCCCTTCATGTGTGGGAGGCTTTGCTGCTGCTTGTTCAGAAAAGGAAAGTGCTCATGACTGTTTAATAATTCAAACTTTCAGTAGTTTATTCTATGAATGCATTAACCTGCGCTTATAAATCAAATACTACTAATACTTAAGGTCATTTTAGAGAGCACATATATTTCTGGTACTTTACTTCAGTTTGTCGTTGTAACCTTGGATCGACCTCCTGCAGACAAACATAAAAAACAAACAGTGTACAGTATACTGACCAGGTAGAGAACTCTGTAGGAATGCCCTGTGAGTTTGGCCACTTGAGTTAGCGAGGGATACTTCCACACCAAGATCTGGTTCTGGGAATAACCATGAGTGCTGACCTGCAGGATGATTAGAAAATATAATTGAGCTCAACAACATCTCCTTCCTTCTATTTCCATGATTAGCATGACTTTGCTAATGGTTGGAAGCAAACTAAATACAAAATGACAGGTGTTTACACGTTGCATCTCATTGGCTGATAATACATCCAAGAGTTACCTATACACCTGCACTGTGTGCAAAGCTGGCATCTTTACTATGAAACAGGATGCATTAAATGATAAGTTCTGGGTGAACAGTGAAGCACATTTAATCTTCTCATACGACTCCATGTCAGATAATTAACAATTTTTAAAAAACGTAGTCCCTTTTACACTCATAAAACAATGTACACTTTTCTGCTTCTGCATCTTCTTCACAACAGGACAGTCCACATCAGAGACTTGAGGACACTCACCAGTTCGTTTGTGTGCTTGGACCAGGCCAGGTTGCAGACTTGAGAGCCCGTGTCAGTGCACTGCAGCGGTTGGCCCGTTAGAGTGTTCCAGAAGCGGATGCAGCGGTCGGCGGTGCCGCCACCAGAGGCCAGAAGGCCGTGCTGGTGGGGAGACCAGGCGATGGCCTTCACTGCAGCCAAGTGCTCTGTGTACTGCTGCACCGGGAGGACGCTCGAGTGGTTCCACACGAGCAGCTGCAGACAGACGACAGAAGAAGTGTCAGGGAAGGAAGGGAAATACGTTTGTGGTAATTGAATGTGTTGCAGAAGTGCAGGTGAGACTCTCTGTTGGCGTACCTTGTTATCATTTCCACCGGAGGCAAGCAGCTGATGGTCCGTGCTCCACTTGAGCCCGCACACTTCCTGTCTGTGTCCTTGGAGACGGCGCTCAGACTGGAGAGGCGGGGCTCTAATGTCCCGCTGCAGGATCACCCGATCACGGCTCCCAGATGACAGCTGGTCTGCATTCCATGCTAACGCACCTGGCAGCAGAGAATGAAACATCCGAGCAAAGATGATTCACTGACCATGAATGAGAGATGTTGCTAAACAACAGCGAGAAAACGACAAAAGGCGATGATGTTTCAACTGCTGCCTCCGTCATGACAACCTCTCTCTACTCACCCACTCTGGCTGTGTGCCCCTCTAGTACAGACAGCTTCTTCCCTGCTGCTGCATCCCAGATCTGTACATAGCCTTTATGAGTCCCCACTGCCACCAGGTTACCCTAAAAATAAACATTGAAAGGTTGAATCAGAGCGCGCGCACACGCGCACGCGCACACACACACACACACGCGCACGCGCGCACACACACACACACACACACACACACACACACAC